GTGTGGGGGTGTTGGCTTCGTCCCCTCCGCCGTGTCCCGTGTCCTCTCCGCCGTGCGTGGCGGTAGGAGCCGGGGGAAGGCCGAGCCCCGCCGTCGGGCTGGATCGGCCAAGCCCCGTGAGTCTGCGGGGCCTCCACGCGTGACACAGGGACGGGGACGGAGCCTCCACGCGTGACACCGAGATAGCGGCAGAGCTGTGGGCTGTGACACCGGCACGGCCGCAGGACTGCGTGGGCACTGGCGCGGCACGGTCACAACACCGGTAGCGCTGTAGGACCTGCACAGGGTGACACCGGTAAGGCGGGGGGCCCCGTGCAGGGCGACGTCGGTGTCACCCGGGGACCGGTGCGGTGGGATACCGGTACCGCTGCAGCACTGGTACATCCCCAGTCCTACCGGGGGTACCCCACCACCGGGACCGGCTCCCTGCCCCTCTCCCTTGGGTCCCTTCGCCCCCCCTGGGGTGCTGTGCCCAACCCCAGGGTGCTGTCCTCGTCCCCGGGGGTGCACAGCCTGTGGTTGGAGGCTTTTCTCGCCCCACTGACCCCACGATTCCCCTGACGCTCCCCGCAGGGCGCTGGCCATGGAGCCGGGCACCATCGACAACCTGTCCATCCTGTACCAGAGCTCCGACTTCATCGTGGTCAACAAGCACTGGGACCTCCGCATCGACAGCAAGATGTGGTACGAGACACTGACCCTGCAGAGCCAGCTCAAGTACCGCTTCCCCGAGCTGGCCGACCCCGACACCTACTACGGCTTCAGGTGAGCAGCCGGGGACCGAAGCAGGCTGTGTCCTGCCTGGGAGGGCCAGGGTTACACGGCCCGAGGGCCCGGGGATGCTCCTCTGCCTCCCATCTCCTCCCCAGGTTCTGCCACCAGCTCGACTTCTCCACCAGTGGGGCCCTGTGCGTTGCGCTCAACAAAGCAGCAGCTGGAAGTGCCTACAAGTGTTTTAAAGACCGGCTGGTGACAAAAGCTTATCTTGCCCTGGTAAACCCATGCTGATAAGTCCTGCTTCTGGACTTATCTTCTGGTTTTGCAAAATGGCTGTAGGTGAAGTCTTCACTTAGGTGAAGTGGCCTGGCCTTTGCTTCTTGTCATCCTGGCGCTGGTGAGGAGTGATAGCCGGCTGAACAGGAGCCAGCAGTGTGCCCAGGTGGCCAAGAAGGCCAGTGGTATCCTGGCTTGTATCAGCACTAGCGTGGCCAGCAGGGACAGGGAAGGGATCTTACCCCTGGACTCGGCACTGGTGAGGCCGCCCCTTGATTCCTGGGTTCAGTTTTGGGCCCCTCACCCCAAAAAGGCCATTGAATGACTCGAGCGTGTCCAGAGAAGGCAACGGAGCTGGTGCAGGGTCTGGAGCACAGGTCTGCTGGGGAGCGGCTGAGGGAACTGGGGGGGTTCAGTCTGGAGAAGAGGAGGCTGAGGGGAGACCTCCTGGCCCTCTGCAACTCCCTGCCAGGAGGGTGCAGAGAGGGGGGATGAGTCTCTTGAACCAAGGAACCAGCGCCAAGCCAAGAGGGAATGGCCTCAAGCTGCCCAGGGCAGGGTCAGGCTGGCTCTGAGGAAGGATTTCTTTGCAGAAGGGGCTGTTGGGCATTGGAATGGGCTGCCCAGGTCAGGGGGGGAGTCCCAGGGATCCCTGGAGGGGCTGAAGAGTCGGGTTGACCCATCGCTGAGGGATCTGGTGGAGTTGAGAATGGTCAGTGTGAGGTTCATGGTTGGACTGGAGGGGCTTCAAGGGATTTTCCAGCCAAGATGATTATGTGGTTCTGTGAGTGCCAGGGCTGGGTTTGCAAACAGACTTTCTGCCCTGCAGGTCAGGGGCCACGTCGGGCAGAGCCGGATGACGATTCACTACGCCATAGGGAAGAACACAACCGAGGGCATGACCCACATGATGTGCATCGATGGGACAGAGGGTTAGTGGCTCCTGTGCCCTGCCTGCGCTGCCCAGACCCCCTGGGCCGTGCTGGGGGGGCAGCTGACCCCCCTCCGGATCTTGTTGCAGGCTGTGAAAATCCCAAACCTTGCCAGTCGGAGCTGATCGTGCTCGAGCACGGGTCCTACAGTGGAGACCCTGTAACCAAAGTGCTGCTGCAGCCGCTGACAGGTGGGAGCCGGGGGCTGGGGTGGCGTGGGGGCCCTTGAGGCTGGGCAGGCAGAGGCAGCAGAGGTGCTGCTGCAGGAACTGAGCCTGCAGCCCTGTGCCTCGGTTGCAGCATGGTGGCACAGATTGCCCCAACCCAAGTGCAAGGTCCTGCCCATGGGTTGGGGCAATCCCAAGCACAAACACAGGCTGGGCCATGAGTGGATGGAGAGCAGCCCCAAGGAGAAGGACTTGGGGGGGATGGTGGGTGGAAAACTGAATGTGAGTCAGTTGTGCTCTCACAGCCCAGAAAGCCAACCGTGTGCTGGGCTGCACCCAGAGCAGTGCGGGCAGCAGGTCGAGGGAGGGGATCCTCCCCCTCTGCTCTGCTCTCGTGAGACCCCCCTGAGGTGCTGGGTCCAGCTCTGGGGACACCAACATCAGAAGGACACAGGCCTGCTCGAGCAGGGCCAGAGGAAGCCATGAAGATGCTCAGGGGGCTGGAACACCCCCCTGTGAGGACAGGTTGAGAGAGTTGGGGGGTTCAGCTGGAGAAGAGAAGGCTCCGGGGAGACCTTAGAGCGGCCTCCCAGGGCTGAAAGGGACTGCAGGAAAGGGGGAGAGACTCGTCGTCAGGGAGCGTAGGAATAGGATGAGGGGCAACGGTTTTAAACTGAGAGAGGGCAGATTTAGATCAGATCTAAGGAAGAAATTCTTCCCTGTGAGGGTGGTGAGGCCCTGGCACAGGCTGCCCAGAGAAGCTGTGGCTGCCCCCTCCCTGGAATGGTTCAAGGCCAGGTTGGACGGGGCTTTGGGCAACCTGGGCTAGTGGAAGGTGGCTGCAGGGTGGAACTGGATGATCTTTAAGGTCCCTTCCAACCCAAACCAGTCCGTGATTCTATGGCAGCACAGTAAAAAACAGCCTCAGAAGGGCTGAGTGGAGCCAAGGTGTGTTGTCACCTCACAGCACTGTGCCCTTGAGGAGGGATTTGGGGGTAACCTGTGTCCCCGATCCCTCCCGCTGTCCCTCTAGGGCGGACTCATCAGCTCCGAGTTCACTGCAGCGCCATCGGCCACCCCATCGTGGGGGACTTCACCTATAGCCACAAGAAGGACAACAGTCCCTATAGGATGATGCTCCATGCCTACTACCTGCGCATCCCCACCGGCAAGGAGCTCATCGAGGTCTGTGCTCCCGACCCCTTCGTCACCGCCATGGACAGCAACTGGGTGCCCCACCACGTCACTCACCGGCTGGATGAGACCATCCAAGAGCTGAAGGACCAGATGCTGCAGAAACAGGAGGAGGAGGAGAGCCAGGAAGCCGTGGTTGGTGGTGGTGCAGAGGAGGCACTGAGTGAAGCCAAGAGCCCGGAGACAGAGGAGCAGCGAGCCCAGTGCGAGCAGTGGTTGGCCGAGTGGGCTCTGGAGTGAGCACAAGCCACGTCTCTGCATTTCCAGCCCAATGCTCCCATTTTCGTCCCAGTGGGTCCCCGCAGAGCCCAGCACTGACTCCACATCTGCACTTTCCGTATGCCATGGCTTCCCTCACTTCTGGGGCTGGGATTAGGCAGATTTTAGCAGCGATTAGGATGGGTTCATTTTTTAATGTTACACATTATCCATCTGGCCACTGGATGCCCCTTTCCTAATTGCAGGTCTCCGCAGCAGAGTCAGTGTGTCACGTACCAGCTTAGAGTGACCCCAAAGCTTTACGTCCCTGTTGCAGGGCTCGGGCGCAGCACAGACGCCGCGTTTGCTGGGAGCGTGATGGACGTAGCCACACACCCTCAGCACTGGGATGCTAAAATACAGCGCAGCAAAGGGCAGGGAGAACATCCTGGCTGCAGCTTGGGTGCCCTTGTTCCCCGTTCCCACTCCCTTCTCTCCAGCCTGCTGCACTCATGGGTATACTCATTGTGGGGGAGTTGGGGGATTGGTGAGGGGGCTGAAATGCAGCCCAGGGACACCGACAGCCCCCCACTAGTCCAGGGGCAGCCCTGGGTGTTTTGCTCAGTGCAGGAGATCCCTGCCTTCCCGTCACTGCCTACGTGCTTTCCTTCCTGCCTCAGCCCATGTGTGGTTTTTTTAAAGGTTTGATGAAGGCAAGTGAGTTGATACGAATAGGTTTTAAACTTTTTTCAAATTTCTATGAGAAGAATCTAGTCTTTTAGCAGTTCTGAAATACGGGTGGTCTCAGAAATGAGTGTATTTTTAGTACTTCTATGGTCAGATAGCAGCCTAAAGCTTTTTTAATAGATATTATTATTCCTTGTACTGGCATTGCCTTTTCCTAGCATCCACTTTTATCCTGGGTGTGGACGTAACCCCTGCTGAGACAGCTCAGAAGACACAAGCCCCTTTCTGCTTTACCCAGGTGAGGGGGAATAAGTATCATGTTTTGGTCCTGTCACACGGCTCCTCGCTGGCAGGTTGCTGCAGGGGTGTCCGCAGCGGAGGCAGATCCTTTGGGTGGGCAGCTTGGGAGGGCTCTGGAGCAGTGAGAGTGGCCAAGGAAATGGTTGAAGCTGAGAGGAAGGACTGAGAAGAGTGGGAAGGAGCCCAGCTCTCATGCCGGTGCTCAGCTTTGCAAGATGCCAAGAGGTTTCTCTGGAAGTGCCCTTGCTTTGCCAGTCAGCGATGTGCTGCTTCGCCCTCTCCTTCCCATCCTGCTCATCCTCTGCAGCCCATGGAGGATGTTTAGAAAATGAGAGCTGGGTGGCTGGCGTGGGCTGGGGAGGGACAGAGGTGGCTGGAGCCCATTGCATACAGAACCCGGGGGTATCCAGCACTGAGCCACCACATCAGCAGAGTAATTGTCATCCCACAAGCTCTGTCCCATTTAAAATGCACCTGACAGTGGTTTCACGCAACTACTATTCCTACCCTGAGAGGGATAAAACGGCACAGCCCTCTCCTCGTGGGTGAACGCACTGGGCGGGTCACCGAAACCCCGTGGGGTGTTGCATCACCCGTCCCATGCGGGTGCTGGTGGGTGCGAGCTCAGTGTGCTGTGGCACACAGCTGGGGACGAGGTGGCCGTCACCTCACTTTGATGGCTTGGTGGGAGGCGCTGCCATCTGCTGCAGGGTGGGGACAGGCACCGAGCGAGGACTGTGGGCTCATGAGCTGGTGGCAGAGGGCTCAGGGGGGGTTTGGGGGAGCAGGGATCTGTATCCTTCCTCCCAGGCCCTGTCCCACCTCCCAGGAGTGGCCAGGGAGGGGAGAGGCAGCCACAGGCGGGTCCCGAAGCTGTAAATTAACGCCATGAACCTGTTTGCCAAAGAATGAACGTGGGTGATGTGCACAGGAGGTCCGGGAAGGTGACGGGTGAGATTTGCAGCATCAGAGTCAGGACACAGCCTCCCCTCCCACGGGTCGCGCTGTGGGAATGGTTCCTGCCACATGACAGGGGACACGTCTGGGATGAGGCTGCCCTTGGCCGTGGGGATGTGGGGACACGCCAGTGCCCATGCACAAGGGGACACCGATCAGTGCTGGGGGGGCTGGCACTCGGCACTCGCCCCGCATCAAGCCCCCACACCACCCATCAGCCTTCATTGTGTTGCACTTTTACCCAACACTGCGGGAACCAGAGAACTTTTCCTCACCCTGCAGAGAGGTGTTTTCCACGCACCCTTCCTGACTCCCCTCCACATCCAGCCCCGCTCCCTCCTCTCTGGCATGTGTTGCATCGCGTGTGAACCCACTCGTGCATTAGGATCGGGGTGGGTTTGCGATGGGTTGTGTGTCTCGTGATGTTCTGTACAGCTTGTGATAACCCTTACTTCTTGTTGGACGTTACCGTAGTAAACCATTACCTGTGTATCCTGCAGTTCACCCTCTGGTCTCAATCCACACTGGTGCTGCAGCAGGGCCGGTGCCGGGGGCTTCCAGGAATGAGCCCGGACCGGCGCAGCGGGACCAGCCTCAGAGCTCCAACCTGGCCAACCTGTTGTGTAAGCACCAGCTCTCACCCTCGCCCTGCCGAAAGTCCCCTGGCCAAAACCACCCGGGTTATCTACCCGAAAGCCGTCCCAGATTTAGTAACTGACACAGATGACCAGGGATGCCTGAGGTAGCTGGGGCAGATGCCACAGCCCTGGCCCTTCCCCTGCCTGTCCCTGCCCGCTGCCCACCCCAGCAGCTGGGATTGTCCTGAATCAAAGAGCAGAAGCAGAAAAAACCCTAATTTTGAAAGATGGCAGCTTTCCTGGCAAGGAAGTGGGGGAGCAGCCCCAGGGCTGCCAGTGTTTAGGGGGTGCATAGGGAAAGCTGCTGCCACGCATGATTTCTATATAACTCCTGGACATCAACGGTCATTCTTCGGGTTGGAGCAGCTGGAAAAGTGAGTGAAGACCCAAGGGAATTACTTGCAGCCTTCAGGTTGTGAGATTTTTAAAGATTATAAACCTGTCAAGGGCAGAGAAGCAGTTGGTTAAGAGGAGGGAGTGTTTTCAGCCCGCCCAGCACAGGGAGTTGGATCCCACCGACCCGCCGAGGCCCCCGCGGGAAGGGGCGTGGGGAGAGGCTGCCCAGCCCGCTCAGGTTTGGGGTGGATGCTCCTGTGCTGGCTCCTCCTGGGTTGTTTTGGGGCCAGTTTGAAGTGCCGCGGGGACACGGTGGACGCAGTGACCCGCAAAGGGGCCCTGATATGGCCCTGCCCACCTGCTCCAGCCACCTCTGGCCAGCAAGCCCACGGCAGGGGCCGTGTCCCACCACCAACTTCATAGAAAACAAGTTTCTGTAATTTTACCACTCCAACAAGAGCTATTTTTACAGTAAATCCTTCCAAAATAGAAACCAGAAACACCCACGGGCGTTGCCCACGCCTTGGTGCTGCAGGACCGGTTGCTCGGTGGGGGACAGGGACACATTCCTGGAGCACTGGGGGACAGCAATCCCTGCTCAGCGCTGTGCCAGTGACTCGGGGGACCCTCTGTAAAGACTTGATGCCCCCAAATCTGGCTGAGCAGGTGGTGCAGCCAGCCCAGGCAACCGCTCTTGCCCTTCCCTTTTCCCGGGATAAACGCTCACATAACATTTGCTGCTGCACAGCATCGGGTTCCTCCAGGCTTTCATCACACAGCCTTGCAAAGGCTTTGCTTCCTGGGTGTCATTCTTCATGGCATGTTCTGGACGGTGTTTCAGAGCAGAATCAGAAACTGCAGGGAGAAAGCTGTAAAAAATGGAATGGGATTGTCTGTGGTCAAGGCAAAAAGGATGGGTGTGAGGGAAGCACCTCCCGGAGGGGTGCTGAGCCCATCACTGAGAACTCATCTCTTCCCCACCACAGTTGCCTGATAAAATATACCCCCTGAATTGCTCAAAGGTTTTTCACTAACTGGGAGGACCTTTGTCTCCACCAAGAGCATAGAAATTACCAAACCAGAGGATTTAATTCATTTGCCCCAAAGTTCAAAGTGACCCTTTACAAAGGAAAAAAAAAAAAAAAAAAAAAAAAAAAAAAAAAAAAAAAGCAAGCCCAAAACCGGGAGATAAAGCAGCTTTACAAAACACTGTTGAGAAACTGCCCCGTCACACCCCGTTTTCAGAGCAACATCCCCACCCCGCAGCAGATAAGTGCCAAGTCGTCCCCGGCACTGCCCATCCCCGGCCAGCGCAGGTGGGTGAGCACCTTCCCCGGCCGAGTGGCGCCACATCCTCATCGCCCAGCCAGATCACCCGGACGGAGAGCGACCCGGCAAGGCCACCGGTGGGATTTAGGGAACATCAGGAGACTTAGCGGAAAAATGATTCGCATCTAGTTCCAAGATTGCTCTGAGCAGCCCATCGGTGGCATTTCTAGAGCGGGGATTTATTTTCTAGGGGGGTTTCTAGCTGAGGGGTGCGGAGTTGGGTAAAGGGGGAGGGTAACACCTGTGCATTCTCCTCTGCTGGTTTATGTTGGGTTGCTCCCAGTTTGTGCTGGTGTGGTCCCATATGGAGCTGGGGGATGGAGAGGGACCCTGTTTTGTCAGGGCACAGGTGAGAGCAGGGCTCTCGGTGCCAGAAGGACAATTTATTGTGAAGTTTCTTTCAATAATGGATGGAGAATGATATTCTGCTTTCTGTTATATGGAATTTTAAATCTCTTGATTGCGGGGGGTTTGTGTGGATGCTCACAGAGCACAGGCTGGGCACTCTGAGCCACTGAACTCCCACAGCTCCAGCTTCAGCATCGGACAAGGGACTCGGCCGCAGCACCCCCTGGCCCTTTCGCCCGCCCGGCCGGCAGCCAGCCCCGTCCCAGAGCGTGGGACACGGCTCCCACCCGCGCCCAGGACGAAGCCCCGGCACAGGCAGCATGGTGCAGGCAGCCCCGGCAGCCATCGCTCTCTGCCTCCGTGAGTTCCATCTTGTCCTCCTAAAGCTGGCCCTGCCCCAGGAACCCCTTCCCGTTCCCCCCGGCACTGGGGATGCTCCAGCCTGTGCTGCTTTTTATTCCCTGCTTGGCTTTAGCACTCCCTGCGCTCTGCCTCATGCTCCTGTCAGCATCCACAGGCACTGGGAGTTTTTCCCCGCTGCAGCCGGCACCGCGTTAGAAATCTGCACAGACACATTTCCAGGGGCAGATTTATCATTTGTTGTCTCCTAAACCTGCCCTGAGGCACCCCAGGTTGCCCGTGCTGGCTGCAGGGTGGTACGGGGGCTGCTCTCTGCATAGCGTTCGGCAGCATTTCCTAAACATTAAATCGGCAAAGAAAAGACCCTTCCCAGACTTTACACCTGGAGCTGCTTTACAGCAGCCCCCGACCGCCGGTACATACGGATGATTTATAACCCGCTCCCGCTTCGTTGCAGGTTTCTCCGTGGACCTCGCGAAAGCCGCAGCGGTGAGTCACCACCGGCTGCTCCCGTGGCCCTGAATACGCCGGGGCTTTGCCGAAACCTCGCAGCGGTGCCGGGAGCAGCAGAGCTGCCGCGGTTCCCCCAGTCCTCAGCTCCGGGGAGGCAAAGCCATCGCCTCCACGCTGGCCCCCTGTGCAGCCCGGGCCCATCCCACTGCCCGGCAGCCTCCCTGCCCTGCTCCTAAATCAAGGGCTGGGACCCTAAACCTGACAGACACCCCCCCAGCTCGGGGGAAGCAGGGACAGACCTGCTGTTGAAGGGCCACCACTCCTGAGAGGGGCTGTGGTGGCTTTTGTCCCCACACGTAACCCAGGGCAGCCTCGGGGCTGCTGCAGTTCTCAGCTGCCTGCAGTCAGATCCTGGTCCCTGGGTTTCAAAACCTTCTTCCCGTCCCTTGCTGGGGCTGAGCATCCCTCATCCTCCTCTCCAGGCTGCTCTGCTCATTGGAGCCGTCCTGTCTGCCACTGAGCAACACGCTGAGTAAGTACCAGCCCCCGATGGGCTCTGTGATGAGTGGCAGGGGTCTCAGAAGGGTGCAAACAGTGGGGCTGGTTCTGGCGTGGGTGGATTTCTCCCCAGTTCCCTGTCACAGCTGCTGAGACAGGTCACAGGGGCTGGAGAGGATTTACAGCCTTGTGCAGCTGGTTCTGGCGCTGGCACCCAGTCTGGGAGTTCAGTTGCGTTGGTTTTTGTTGTAGCACAAACACACCAAGAATTTCCTTTCTAAAGGGGCTGACGCAGATGCAATGGGAGCCTCCCCTGAGCCAAAATCCAGGCTCTGCTGGTTTCTCCCTCCTCCAAAGCCTGGGCTATGGTGGGCACCTCTGCCACCAGCCCAGCCATGGGAATTTCCCCAGGGAATAAGGGGGTTCATCCTTCACGGGGTGCTGGGGAGCTGAAGCAGGTGGTGAAACGCAGCCATGCCTCTCCCACTGCAGCCTCTCAGCCTCCATCCTGCAAGGTTTCCAGTGCATCCCAGCCAGTGACCTGCCTGCTGCTGCCGTCCTCGCGTTTGCCCAGGGATTGCAAAATAAAACAGCAGACCTGAGCAGTGCCCAGGTGAGCAGGGGCAGGAGCGGGGGTGCAAACCTCAGGGGGCATGGGGAGCCAGGGGGTGCTGGGGCAAAGGGGATCTGACTGCTTGGCCTTGACCAGACATATCTCTCTCTGCCCAGCTCTCCTGCCTGGCCAGGCTGCTCGCTGCCAAGAACCTGACAGCTGATTTTGGCAGGTACCCGCCAGACCTGCTGCTCTTCTTTGAGTGAGTATCGAGAGTGGCACAGGGCTGCGGTTTTGGTGCATGAATGACACCATCCAGCAATAACCAGCATGGTCCTGGTACTCCCCGGGGCATGCAAAAGCTCTGTGGGGGAGAAGAGTATTACCAAAATGACACTTTCATACCCACACGGGGCATTTCCAGCCCTGCAGACCCCACTCCCCGCTGAGGCTGAGGCCAGGGCATGGGGTACTGCACCCAAGGCATCCTCCCCAGAGTAAGAGGAGACCCCCCCCAGTCCTGTGCAACTCAGCAGCTCATTGCTCATAAGGGAGAAACAATTTAAAACTACTTTCCCATGCCCACAAAAACCAACATCAAAGATCTCCTACCTGGTTACAAGGAGCCCTTCACCTGTTCCTCCCCGCAGCTCGACTGAGGTGCAGGGTGGGACCTGCAGAGATTTTTATGCCCGGGCTTCCCGCGGGAACCTCGACCTGCTGCCCAGGGGCTCAGCCCACAGGATGGGGCTGCTGCGTGGGGCACTGGCCTGCCTGGTGAGTGGAGGCCAAGCTGGGGGTGGCCGGGTTCCCCCACACCCCTGTACGAGGGCTGGTTTGTCTCTGCCAGGGGGTGAGGAGCAGCCGCCTGAGCCCCGAGCAGCTCAGCAGTCTCGGGGCGCTGGTATGTGACATGGAGCCAGAGACAATCATGGCCTCAGACCCTGGTGTCCTGGAGAACCTGAAGCTCTGCCCAGCGCTGACAGGGGCCCAGCGGGACACTCTCAATGCTGTGCTCCTCGGGGGGGGCACAGCGTATGGGTAAGTAACATTTGTCTGCTCTTAGGGGGGTGGGCAACGAGCAGGAGGTATGGTGTAGCCCATAAAGATGCTGAGCTGGTCTCTCTCCCAACGGCCACAGGGATCCTTCAAGCTGGAATTTACAGACTCTGCAAAATCTGGGGCCACTGGTGCTGGCTTTGAACCAGACCACGCTGAGCCTGGTGGCTGAGGTAAGCCCCCTACTCCAGACCTTGGGGCGAGCTGCCGGTCAGTCAGCCCAGCCCTGAGGCTGCGGGACCCAGCACCCTCTTTCCCCCCCATCCCTGGGCAGGCAGTGTGGGAGGCTTTCGGCAGGAGCATTGTGGCCACATACGGCAGCCAGGGACGTTCCGAGTGGGAGAAGGCCCTGACCTTCCTCCGGGCCTTTGCAGCAGCATCAGCTTCATCTCAGCCCAGGTGGAAGCGGAACACAGATGGTGAGAGTTCCCCTTCACCACCAGTTTGGGGAGGGAAGGGGGAGAAAAACAACCCCAGGCTGATCAACATCTGGGTGCCTCTGGGGAGGAGGACAGGAACAGGCAGAAAGCTGTGGGATTCCCATAAACTGGAGAGGAAACGTCCAGGAATAGGGCAGCTGGGAAGGAGCCGGGTGGAGAGAAAACTCCTGGGTGGAGGAAGATGCTGTACAACCGAAGGATACTCATGGGGATGACATGGGGAAGAGTTCACCTTACTGGAGCATTTCTAGTTGCCTGACAAAGTGTGCCTGGCCTGAAGAAACAGCACCGGGTTCTTCAGGAATAACTTGAAGGGATGAACATGAATAAGGCAGCTGCAGGGGCTGGGCGGGAGGGTGGTTCGCAGTCCTGCTTGAGCTGTGTTATTGCAATTCTGTTTGTTCACTGGGGCTCTTCTGAGGGGCTCTGACAGGACCAGGGCCAGGTGGAAAGGGAGGAAAGGCCTGACATGCCCTCCCTGCCCACAGGCTGCCAGTCCACACCTCTGACGGCCAGCACCGACTTTGATCCCCTCTTATTCCTTGAGTACACCACCAGTGAGCAGTTTGACCTGTGCCTGAGCAATGAGTTTTTAAAAGCAAACCTGGGGCCTCTGCTGCAAGAGCCGCTCCCCATGGAATACCTACTGGTCGTGAAAAAAAAACTGAAGCAGGTGATGGGTGACACGGGGCAGGAGGCCCCCCACAACCCCCTCCCATTATTGTGGGCACACTCCGGGATGGGCAGCGCCAGCTGCAGGGATGATGGCACCAGAAGGGGCCCTTTGCACCTGTTTCTGCCTTCTTTTCCCTTCCATGACCATCTTTTTCTGCCCCACTGGCCTGGCCCTACAGATTTACCCATCGGTGATCCCAGAGGAGCAGCTGAAGGTGTTGGGGCCACTGTCTCGACAGTACACAGCGGCGGAGATCAGCCAGTGGATGGTGACGTCCAGCGACACGCTCTCAGCCCTGCTCGACCCCTCGAATGGCATGTGGGAGCCTCCCCAGGTAAACCCGCGGGGGACGGGCATTGCTCAACACAAATGGGGGCCGCTCAGTGCCCAAGGCCAGCTCAGGGGCGAAGGCAGTGCCCGAGGGCAGCACTGTGGCTTTGCAACCCACACACATTTCCACGTGGAGCATCTTCCTCCTCTGCCTGCGAGCAACCATGGAAATTGTGTTTCCCAGGTCCAACAACTGCTCAGCAGGTACCTGGCCCTGGGGGGCACCTTGACCGGGTCCTTGCTTCAGAAAATCAATGGAAGAGACCTGTGTGATCTGCAGGAGGAGCAGATTGATGAAATCTCTCCACAAGAAATTGGGTAAGGTGCTTTTTAGGGATGTTTTTCAGTCCTGCAAGGCCCCTGAGAGTGCCGGGGAAAACTCCCACCTCTGTTTGGGCTCTGCCCGCTCCACGGCAGGGTGGCCGCATCCTGCTCCCAGCTCCTGCCCGAGCCACCCGCACCGCGGGCCAGGACAGACCACTCACCTCCCCCTGCCCACAAAAAGGCTTTGGCTGGGGTTTGGTGTGGTGCCCCCCAGCTCTAACCTGAGACCCTTCCTCTCCCCAGGGTTGCTGGACAATTAAACATTTCTTCTTGCTCTCAAACCAAGAAGGACCAACTCTACAGAAAAGCCCGGGAGGCCTTTGCTGGCCAGGCTGGCACCACCAGAGTGTATTATTGTCAGATTCAGCCATACCTGGGTAGGTGTTTCCACCTTTGCCCTCCTTCCCACAGCAACAGAGGTTGGATACCTCTTCCTTGGCCAGGAAACACACCAAACACGTCTATCAGCCTCCAGACCCCCCCAAAAAGGGGTGGAAGTGTTTACATGTTGCCCCATATGTTTTCTTTAAGGTGGAGCTCCAGCAAAGGACCTGAAAGATTTGGCTAAAGCTGACGTTAACATGGACATAGACACATTTCTTGCCCTAAATCCTGAGGAACTGCAGGTATATCCCCAGTACTGCTACTCTTTTCCCCGCTGAAAGGCAGGGCTAGTTGAGGGCTGAGCAGTGGGGGTTGAGGCCAGAGCCCCAACAGATCACCAAGTCTCTATTTTTTTGCCATTTAAAATTTTCTTTTGGAAGTTATTACTTGCTGCGCAGTCCCGTTACAAAAGCACTTTGTGGTGACGCCGGCTGTGAGGATGAACGGCTGTTGTTGTACTTGTATTGCAGAAACTCAGTGTCATGGATGTGAAAAACCTGCTTGGGAAAAACCTCCCTTACCTGAAGGCAGCTGAAAATGAGACGGCAGTGATGAGCTGGGTGAAGAGACAGTCCCAGCGGGAACTGGACTGTGCCCTGGGAATCGGCCTGCAAGGGGGGACAGAGGAGCCTGGGACAACCCCCCAGCCTCCCCTCACAACCTCGGCCAGTGTCACCCCCACACCCACCACCCTCCCCACCCCTGTTGCCAGTAGCAGCCACCCTACTGCTAAATCAAGCACTGCCTCCCCCCAGACCCCCACCCCAAGTGCTACCAGCCCGACTCCCCCTGACACCACTCCCCCACGCACCTACGCCCCCAGCTCTGTGGTGAGTCCCGCTGCCACCTCCAGTGCCCAGCCCGCTCCGACCACCGGCCCCTGCTCCATCCAGTGCGTCACCCCCAATAACACCCCCCCACCCAGTGCCACCCTCCTCACCACCCTCCTCTCTGCTGTCAACGCCAGCGTGGCCTCTCCCAGCTCCATCCCCACCCCAGTTCTCACACATGGGGCCACCACCACCAGCATTGTCACTAACCTGGTTGTTAACACCAGCACCCCACTGGTGTCCATGAACCCCCCAGTACCTGGGGGTACCACCAACCCTGCTCCTGCCACCCAAAACACCCCCTCACCGAGCACCCCCAACGCTCCCAGTGCTCTTGGCCCTAACTCCACCTCTGCACCTGCCACCACGGAAATGAACCTCCCTCCCCACAAGCCTACCCTGACTCTCAACTCCACCACCTCCACCCAAGCGGGTGTTGTCTCCCCAGTAGTCAAGACTACAACATTGGCTTGCAAGACCGACACCCTCACAGCAGCTCCCAGCCCCTCTTCCACCACCACCACCAGCGAGACCACTAAAGAAGCACCCACCGGCACACCAGCGTCACCGAGACCAACAGTCAGTGGATACATCAACCTGCAACCCGAACCTGGTAAGGTGTGAATGTTCGGAGTCAGAAAAGACTCAGGGAGTGATGGCGAGGCCAAAGGCTTCACCGATAGATGATCCACCTCTTTCCTGGCCATGTTCAGTACCAGGAGAGCCCAAGTAGTTGCTGGTTGGACAAGCAGGGATGTGTCCCTACGGGGTGTTACGCCCCTGGGCCTTCAGGTCTCTGCACTCTCAAATCTGGGCAACACTCAGCTCAAGGTGTCTCGTCACCTCCTGAGCACATGGCACCCCCCAGCTGCTCTGCAGAAAGCCCAGTAATTCCATTCATGCCAACACATGGTATTATTTTCCACAAGGCAAGGATACAGCCTTCTATTTTAGGTGCACATGGCATTTCTGACTAGGCATCGCTGTAAAAGTGCTCAAATCCGAAGCCCTTCAACCTGACAAGAGCTACACCCATTCCTTTAACACCTCAGATTTACTCCTGCTTTATGCTGGTGAAAGTAAGACTCAGTCCTGCTGACTCCTCCAAGGCAGGTGATGTTTGTAACCGGGGTGCAGGTACAGGTGATGTCCCGAGAAGCAGCGAGCACCGTCCTAACACATGCCACCCTCTGGCATGCCCGAGTCCTGGCACGGCCCCGCTGCCCTCACAGCTCACGTGTGCCTGGGCCAGATAACCCAGTTCTCTCTCTTCTGTCTCCTCCACCCAGGATCGGGATTCAGGCTCTGCTCCAGCCTCCTGCCCGTCCTGACCGTGGCCGTGGGAAGCTCGCTGCTGCAGGTGCTCCTCTGACACCGCCACCTCCAGCGCCGTACTCACCGGATCCCTCCTTTAATTTTCACCATCCTGCAAAATAACGGTGCTGGAAAATCCCCTGCTGGAAAGCAGAAACCCAGGCAAGGAGTTTGTCCATTTGCTACCAGCACAGAATTTCCTTTGTATTTTTGAGGCTGGGCAGTGAGAGGACAAGTATTTTTCCCACCCAAAGCAGCCCAGCAGGCACTTACTAGCTAGTTGCTCCATGTATTACAACCACCAGCAATATCGACTGGCCTGACACCGCATTAATGCTGACAGCAGGCCTGGTTCTGCCAGCTTTACTCACACTGACTATTTTACTTCCAAGCAGTCCCACTGGGATCTGTTAGCACAGTGGGACAACTCAGGGATTTGAGTTACTGGCCATTGCAAAAGAAGCAGAATATGGCCCAGCAACATGGCTCAGAGATCCACCAAACTGCAGAGAACTTGTTTCATGAACTTGGGAGATTTTTGATCAATATTTGTTCAAATTATACAAAGCCTAGTTAGAGGGATGATTAACTGAAGACTGTTTATCTTGATTACTGTTGCAATGCTATATAATAAAACATCAATCAACCTTTTTTTAATAACCAAATGTTTTTTGATGTGTATTGTCATTTTTCTTGCTAACTGAAATCTAAAGTTTCCTCTTCTTTTGCTCTGACTTTTCAGTACTTAGTGTCTCCTCCTCCAATAGCTCTATTACAAGAGATTTTCTCCCTCCCAGCTTTCAGATCTTCCACTGTTTCAATTCTCCAGAAGCTGAGGAGATTCTTGCATGTCATTTGTTGAGAGTCAAGGCACAGAAAAAAAAAAAAAAAAAAAAAAGCAGGTTTCTCTCGGGGGGATGGATGCTGTTCAAATGACAACTGTCCAACTGTCTGCCTTACCTTGGCTCTCTCCCACCCCAGACAGCGCCCAGTACCACGGGCTGCAGGCAGTGGGCAAGTGTCTCTTGCCAGCCAGAAGCCTGCAGCGGAGGACAGACCAGGCTCCCCTGTGCTCTTTCTGTAAAAGATGGACAATGCACTTTTATAACATATTTGCAGACAGGCTCTCCTCCTGGGGGAAAAGGGGGATTTCAGGAGCTGGATACAGGCTGCACTGAGGCTTTTTTGGACAGAAATTCCCAATGAGTGGAGAAAAAAAAAAAAAAAAAAG